GAGAGAGAGAGAGAGAGAGAGAGAGAGAGAGAGAGAGAGAGAGAGAGAGAGAGAGACTAGAGATAGGGCCTTGCTATTCAGTTCCAGCTGGCCTTGAACTCACTCTGTAGCCCAGGCTGGCCTTGAACTCACAGAGATCCTCTTGCCTCGGCCTCCCAAGTGCTGGGACTATAGGTGTGTACCATCATGTTAGGCTTCCAAAGTATTAAATTTTATATTAATTCCTGGTAGTAAATGATTAAGGGATTTCACGTGAAGATCTAGCTTTCTGGCTTCTTTATAAAACTGAACACTCTCCGTGATGGGGCCGAGAGGTGGCTGCTAGTGCAGACAAATATAGCTGGTATCTTTCATTTACTCAGAAGCCACTGGTCTAGATGGTCCCTTAGGAACATTTTGAGTGGCAAATGCTATGATCGGAATCTGAGGATCAGAAGCCGAGGAAGTCTGTGGATAGAACCGAAAATCAGGATCAGGCTCTGGTCACATATGAGCCAGTAAATTTTCAAGCTTGAGCAGGCATCAGCAGTGAGAACACGACTATCAAAATCCAGACAGAGTATGTCATTTTTACATGGAGGTCCCCAGAAACACCCATCTCAATACTGCGCTAACCTCAAGCAGCTCTCTGAGCTTGCACCATTCATAGGAAGCTGGAAGTGCGAAACTCCAAGCAACAGTATCTGTTCCCATAGCTTGGGCCAAAGGCAGGACAGACACAGCGCTGCACAGTCATGGTGTAGTCACACAGCCCCAGTCATGGGTCATTCTTACCTTCTCTTCTGGATGGTTTCATATTCCTTAGCCTCCCAGAGTAGACTCCCCTTTGGGACAACATCCCAGCGGGAGCACAGAGATGTCATTAGCTTCCCTGCCAATAGCAAAGCCACTGTTGGGTTTTGTGACCTTTTTGCAATGTGATGGGAGCCTCTCAGGTTTTCTTTCACAGTATACTGAGGCCAAGGAACAGCTCTTTGATGCTAATTGCGAGCATCTTCCTTGTGGTACAGGCATGCTTGATCCACATGGAACACTCAGGCGCTTTTTGGGGAAAGGGAAACCCAATGAGGGTCACAGCCTAGTGTCTAGGAGGAGGAGAACAGGAAAGAAACACTGAGAAGACCATTTCAGCATGGCCAGCCTCATCACTGTGGGACTGGAGCCCTGGTCGGCCACTTCATGTCCATCACAAGCTGACCATGCCTTCTTTATCATCATAAAAGCCAGCGGCAGACAGAGGAAGACAGCGCAGAACCTCATCGTGGAGTCTGAAAGCGGGCAAAGGAGCTGATCCTGTGGGAGGAGTTACTCCAGCTGCAGCAAAATCGCACAGCGTGGTCCCCACTTGCAGTCCCTCTTGACCCCAGAATTTCTCTGGGCAGATGTACGTGAGTTTTGTGCGCCCTGTCACTCAGCACTCTTTCACCCTGTCTCTCAACTAGGAGATGTCCAGGAAGGGGGGGAAAAAACCCAAACTTTTACTGTTGCTCGCTGAATCTGAAACCCTATTAGATGCTCAGTGTCAGAAATCTATGCCTGATTATATCACAGTGAATGAAATTGAGGAAAATGACAGCACTTTTTAAGGCTGCTGTATTTGGTTATGAGTGATAAGGAAGGACACAGAGCCGTGGGAAAAATTCTTGGTGACTCAAGTTATAAAACATAGAACATCACACAAACAAGGACCAAGACATAAACAGAGCCCTTCTGGAAACACATTAGTCGGGTCGGCAAGGAAACCCCTGATCCCACCTGTGATTGACTGGCGCCAACCCGAACAGCATGGACCAGGCAGTCATTTGGGATTTGGGCACTGCCTTCTGCGGGGCTGGCATTGGCTGAACCCATCCTGATGCCACAGAGAAGTATGTTCCTTGCAACATTCTGAATGCCTACCAATTCTTCTGTGCAAGACCTCAGACTGCCTTCTTTTCATAGGACACTGAATCACTGACACTTGGCACAGGCCAGGTGTCACCTCCCATAAGTATTCTTCCAAATAACAGTGTTTCCTGAACCCAAAGGATGTAGGAGGCTGATGCCATTCTTCAGAAGAACTCGTGCTTCTCTCTGTTCCCTTGCTTTCAATGCCCAATTTTCCATACTGACAGATGGAAGAACTGAGACCCAAGAAGGTTAAGTGCCTCCCTCAAGTCACTGGGGATGGCTTCTATTTCTCTGGTGCTCGTTCATCAAGCTGTACCACAGGCATGCCACGCTCCCCTTCCTTCAAATGGCAGCCATACCAAGTCTTCTTTTAATCTTTGCAACTTGCTCCAATAAAGTCCCTAATTAATCCCACACCTTTTCCCCAGTGCCAGCAAAGTTCTTGTAAACATTATTTATTTATACTCATCATCATTTATTGTGACTGTTGTATTTATAGGCATTTGTATTGATTTATATAATCAATATAGCTGACTGCATGTTGCGTTGTTTCCTGCTGGTGGATATAACCACTTTGGAAGTAGATAAGTGGTGTTTTGGATGTGTCTGTAGATGCATACAGTGATGGATCTGTGCCCCTAAATGTCAAGGGCAGGTCAAGCTCTGCTGATAGGATTGAGAATTAGATGGTGGCAAAAATAGAGCTATTTTGCTTGGCTTTTGGACTGTGCATCATACTGACCACACCAGAGTCAGCACCTTTGATGCTCTCTGATGATGGGAGAGGCCTGAGGGCTGGGTGCCAACTGATCCTGGTGGCTGCGGTCCTTGCATGAGAGCGACTTGGCAGTGGGGCTGTCCATAGAGCTACCAAATGGAACCAAATTCTTCTGACATCAAAAATGCATCTTAGCCTTGAAAAAATCTGATCATGGGCTGGGGAGATAGCTCAGGAGAATAAGCACCTGCCTGGCAGGCTCAGGGTCCTGAGTTCAATCCCTGACACCACACACACACACACACACACACACACACACACACACACACACACAGAGTCTGATCATTCACTGATACTTTATTCTGTGTGTTCTGGAAGAAATAACATTATAAAAAGAGAGAAATCATTTCCTCAGAGCCAGAAGCTGAAAGGCACAGGGGAACTAGAACCAGGTCATACAGCACAAGTGAATTACAATGTGCTCTCTGGCCAGACTGCCCAGGGCTGAGTCTTGGCTCTAACACTTACAAGCTGTGCAGTGCTGGGTTACCCTACCTCCAGGTCTCTGTTTCCTCTTCTGTAGTATGGGTATCATGATACAACTTAATGTATGGGGTTGCTCCGAGGCCTCAATGAGTTAAAATAGAGTACAGTCTATGTGTCCTGCTCTTCTAATGGCAGCTGTGCGAGAAGGAAGGAGTGATGGCATATGACAGGAGAGGGAACCTCCTTTTATACAATGCCTTCCACAATGAAGAGGAAACACGATTTTCTGTCCTGTAGTGACATGCACCAAAGATGCTCGAGGGTGAATGCCATCTGGCTACAGCTACTTTTCATAACTCCTGGAGTCTCTACAGGTTGTACTACATGAAGCATGAGGTTCCCCCAGGGCTCTCTAGGGAAGCAATTAAGACAACCCCAGACTTTCTTCTGGAATGACGGCTCTTAGAAACTTCAATCCTGATCTTTAGAACTCTGTTTCCCACCTCAGCCTTCCCACAGAATTCACTGACCAGATACGGGGAGGTTCTCTTGGGTCTAGGTTAGGACTCGGTACTCTAAGCACTATTTCTCTCTCTTTTTTTTTTTTTTGCGGAACCGGGGATTGAACTCAGGCCCTTGCGCTTGCCAGAGAAGCGCTTATTCCACTGAGCCATCTCCCCGGCCCCTAGGCACTATTTCTCTACACACAGAAACTAGTGTCATTAGCTGTCTTGCTTCTCATAACCCATCCCTTTCCTCAGCCTGTCAATGGCGAAGGGTTATCACAAGCCCCACGTGTTTTTGACAGTCTTTAGCACTAAATGGCAATTTATAGAGAGTT